CTTTGGTATCTGTTGCCTCTCTTTTGACAAACACTAACTCCCTTTTACAAAAATGTAAGTGCTATCATTTCTGGATACTGAACACGTCCTTTGAAAAATTCTGAAAGATGTAGACTGTTTCTTTCGGTGTTTAACACCTAGAGTATTTATAGTTAGAGTAAATGAATAAAAATTTTCTTATCTGAAACTACTAGACAATTTTTACCAAATTAGCATTTTTCATTCGGGTAACTTTAAAGTGCCAAACGATATAAAAACGCAACGAAAAGAAACAAAATTTGCACAAACATATACAGCATATACAGGAAAACAATAATCCAATTGATAGGATCTGTAGAGTGAGTCGACCAGGGTGTATGACAGGAATTATGACTGCTACTGGAAAAGAAGGTCATTGAAGGTCAAAGAAGACAGGGACATAAATTTTGCCTTGCAACGGTCCACTTTCGGACCCTTATTAGTTGTTACAAGGTTTCTCTTGAGTGGCGGTCTTTCTTCACGATGAATCGGATTGATTGTTCCCATTCGGGACGAACGTAGCTGCATATCTATACATCCCACTCAGCTAGACTGACAAGCTATGGATACTGCACGTCGGATAGGTATGACTACACATATATAACCAGTAAACATTTTGGGTTTATTTACATCAAGAAAAAGAAATCATAAATCCAGTAAGTAGGTTGTGCAAAATGAGCCGCCCAAAAAAGGGCGGAAATTTAGGAATGCCACTTGGAAAAATGGGTATGTTGGATATGGACAAAAATATTGGAATGAAACAATTCCACGCTTACATACTATATAAAAATAAGAAGATTTGGTATGATTGCCAATAAGACAACTATCCAACAAAGTTAAAATGAAGTGGATGTAAGCAATTATAGGCAACAGTACGGCCTTCAACAATGAGAAAAACCCATACCGTATATTATAGTCGGCTATAAAAGTCCCCAGGACTTATTTTTAACAAAATAATTTACAAAAAACAAATATGACAGACATGAACCAACGACAACCACTGAAACCATCAAAGGGTTGCTGCAGTGATTCTTTATCGTGAATCCGTGATACACAGTAATCTATGTTAAGTCATTATGTAAATTCAGATATACAGCATTTCTCTAACTTTTAGAATTTAACTACAAAAATGTATTGATTTCGTTTGATTTTGTTGTATTTCGTTTCGTTTTGGTCAATTTCGTTGCGTTTTTGCGAATTTTATTTTGTTTCATTCCGTTTTGTTTTATTTTGTTTCGTACTTTACAGGTACCCTGAAATTGATATTTATTATTACAGCTTGAGTGTCCTGATTTAGTCCGATTAATACTTGTTTCTTATGCCCATGGTGTAATAATGCTTCATCGCATTTTCCGTTAAAATATAAAAACATAGAACACAAGCAATTGCTTAGAAAACCTCAGCCAGGGTAGTCAAAAACGTGAAATTTAAAGGAACGAGTAGTGTTTAAAAGTGTGAAGGTGAACTATAAATAATGTTAACTTTTGTATAGTTTTACTAACATGATGTGTATAATAAATAGAATCAAGATTTTCTGATATATTCGGCCTGCATGTTTTGTTTTGTTATGTTTTGTTATGTTTTTGTTTCTGTGAAATATCATGTTAACCACTTCCCTTAAAGGTTTATAGATTTTGATTTAAAATAATTATTTTTTTAGAAGGTACATGCTACTTAAAACGACGACTTAATTCAAGATACAATGTAACTGAAAAAATTCTGTTTGTCTTTTTTTAATACTGTCTTGCAACCTAATGAGAAATTTAACTTGGCAGACAAACATGCAAAACATCTCCACTAAAACACATTTACTAATAATGAATTTGAAAAAATATCATTGGTTAGACAGGAGCAGGATCTGCTTACCCTTCCGGAGCACCTGAGATCAGCAGTTTTACTGATATGATGTTTATAATAAATTAAACCAAGATTTTCTGATATATTTAACCCGCTTGTTATGTTTTGTTGTGGATCTGCTTACCTCTCCGGAGCACATGGGATCACCCTGGTTTTTAGTGGGATTCGTGTTGCTCAGTCTTTAGTTTTATATGTTGTGTTTGGTATACTGTTATTTGTCTTTTGGTCGTTTTCTCTTTTTGCCATGTCGTTGTCAGTTTATTTTTGACTCATGAGTTTGAATGTCGCTTTGGTATTATTTCGCTTCTCTTTTAGACCACACTAAAAAATAGTTGTTCTTCGGATTTTTCAGATGAGAATAAAAGGGCAGCGAGCGAAATTGTTTTATTTTTTTTCCCAATGAATCTTGTAGGGTGAACTATTTTGGTGCCTGACATCATACAGTTTTTGCTGTATTTTCATTATTCCAAGCTATGATCGTTTGTCCTTAACACATGTACCACTTTAACTTTTCATAGTTTCTCTCTGTGTGTTGCTGTTCCTTCCTATTTCAAGCCAGTTTGAAGCAAATGAAGCAGAGAGTAACTAAATAGTGTCTTATCCTTCATGGAGCAATGGGGAGTACTTCTGATTTTGAAATGGTCCAATAATTATAAAGAACAGAAGTGATATCTGAATGTCATCCTTCCAGTTTTTATGTTTAAAGAAAATGTATTAGAAATGTTTCTCATAGTTTCAAAAAACCTTTATTCGACATTGTTCAAAACAAACTGCATCTTTTATTGAAACAGACATTCACTGGTAATGCCAACAACTATTCATGACGTCCGGTTTCCCGTTTGACACTGAACCTCAACATTTAACAATGTTTAGTCGTTTCCGATCACATTTCAAACAACACTAGTCTGCACATAAAAAAATTGTGATTGGCCTCAGACCTTAGAAATTTTGTCAAACAAATGCCATTTTGAGTGAATTTTGTGGCTGTCAAATTAAAAATCTCAATTCGATATACAAACGTTTGATATAGATATAAAGAGATGTTGTTTGATTGCCAATGAGACAGCTATCTACCAAAGTTCAAATGAAGTAAATGTTAAGCAATTATAGGCAACCGTACGGCCTTCAACAATGAGAAAACCCTATACCGTATAGTCGGCTATAAAAGATCCTGACATGAAAAATATGAAACAATTCAATTGATAAAACTAACGGCCTAATTTATAACAAAATAATTTACGAAAAACAAATATGACAGACACGAACCAACGATATCCACTGAACTACAGGCTCCTGACTTGGGACAGGCACATACAGAATGTGGCGGGGTTAAAATACACTAACATCCGGAAACCGATCGAAAAAAAATTCTGCGCGAAATAAAAAAAAAAGAGAAATCAGAAAAGTGGAGATATCGACGAACAAGAAATTGATTTGATGTTGCCATACGATGAACTAAATTTATTCAACAAATTATATAACATATGTATTGGTCGAACTTTTATTTAATTTACTTCGTCAACTTTTATTGTAATGTAGGAGACATATTATATAATTATATAAATTTTCGCTTGGAATTGAAATTGCCAATATCAGAGAAACAAAGATTTTTATATCATATTCTTCTGTCTATATTAATGAATGAAAAATAATATAGGCGTAACCGGGGTTTAAAAAAGGCTGCTATCAAAGTTCTATCGAAAATATTTTCCCTAAATTTGAGAATGGCTGATGGCTTACAAAAAGTACTTGCTGAACGTCCAATGGCAAATATGTCATTCCTAGTTATGATGAGAGACGTTGTGATGACCAAACGACAAAATTAGAGTCCTTAGAATATTGCACACAAAAAAGAGAAAATTTCATTGCAATGATCTGCAATGATTAAAATTTTCAAATCTTGAATTATATGCAGTATTGTAATAACAGTGCGTATTGTTTTCATCTTCTGTATTTTGCTGTACCAAACATGATCAAAACTAAAAGTGATAAATCAGTCTACAAAAACAAACCACTATATTGGGCTTATAGTATCCCTTTTGTGGAGCAATGTATATTCAGCAATAAAGTTGTGAAATCTGCTAGTCTCCGTGATGTAATAAGTGATATATGTGTTGTTTCTATGTAAATGTTGCATAATAGACCTCATTCACTGTCCACATTGCTGGTTATATGTCACAATGAATAACTGTTCTTCAGAATCTGTGAAATACTATATAAACAAAAGAACGGTCTATTCTGGAGGCATTTAAACATTTGAAGAACACATATCACAATAACAGTAAGTTCTAAACAGTTTCAGACAACAAAAAAGTGGGAAACCGTTAATTGTTTTATATCCCTTTTAATCTAATCGAATGTATAATTATGAGTTATCTCCCATTTTAATTGTGCATTCTTTAGAATTTCTCTTTATGCCTGTAAAATAATTGTTTTGAAATAATGTAATTATTTAATCTTTACATGAATCACCTGCTGAATTTATATAAAAATGAAACAAAGTTTTTCGATTCTTTAAGAAATAAGGTTGATATAATTTTACCCTACATCTAGTTTTATTTAAATGTCCACCCCACCCCCACCCCTAAAAAAACCAAAACAGAAACATGAGTTGTTTGGGACATGCTTCATATGTGCATATAAAAAAGGAAATAATAATTTTACAGGCACTCAAAGTCGAGACAAACTTTGTTAACATTTACACCAAAGATTGCTCATTTTCACTTTCATGGCTCTTTTGCAACTGAAAATACAGTGGCGAAAAAGTTAAGGTGTAGGTAAAAGATTTCAATGGTCATTTTCGAATTATGCTTCAGTAAATTTGAATAAACTTAATGAATTCGTTGAAATGCTTTTCCTTTTTCATTCTTGTGATTAGTTATTTGAATAATAAACAGAACAGAACAACGTAAATCTGCTCTCCCAAAATCTTCTTAAGCTAAACAATATCACCATGATGTAAATTGTTTGGTTACAAAATATCAAATATGAATAATGCATTTGAAATAACTACCATTACGATCATTAGTGAAATTGATATAAAACCAAAGAAATATCGATGGCTCTACTTACAATATTTCCAATATCATTCCAATTTTATTAGAAAGACAGTTTATTAAGCAAACCTTTAATGTTTATTAGAAAGACAGTTTATTAAGCAAACCTTTAATGTTTATTAGAAAGACAGTTTATTAAGCAAACCTTTAATGTTATTAGAAAGACAGTTTATTAAGCAAACCTTTAATGTTTATTAGAAAGACAGTTTATTAAGCAAACCTTTAATGTTTATTAGAAAGACAGTTTATTAAGCAAACCTTTAATGTTTATTAGAAAGACAGTTTATTAAGCAAACCTTTAATGTTTATTAGAAAGACAGTTTATTAAGCAAACCTTTAATGTTTATTAGAAAGACAGTTTATTAAGCAAACCTTTAATGTTTATTAGAAAGACAGTTTATTAAGCAAACCTTTAATGTTTATTTATACATCTGACAGAACATACACCATGCTCAGATTAGTTGCTTTTGCTCTCTGCGCCTCAATGGCTTTTGGATACGGATACAGCGGTGGATATGGACATGGAATTGAAATTCACGGGGGATACGGACAGAACTATGGAGGTTACGGTCATGGAGGATATGGTGGATACGGACAGAACTATGGAGGTCTCGACCATGGTTATTACGGCGGATACGGGTCAGACTTTGAATTTGGCGGATATGACAATGAAAATATCGGATATGGAAACGGAAACGATTTCGAAGAAAGCTGGGGAAATGGATACGGTGAGGGACATGGTTTGATCAGCATTGGAAAAGGATACGGTATTGGCGGAGGATATGGAAATGGATACGGTGAAGGACATGGTTTGATCAGTATTGGAAAAGGATACGGTATTGGCGGAGGATATGGAAATGGATACGGTGAAGGACATGGTTTGATCAGTATTGGAAAAGGATACGGTATTGGCGGAGGATATGGAAATGGATACGGTGAAGGACATGGTTTGATCAGTGTTGGAAAAGGACACAGTATTGGGGGAGGTTACGGTGGTATCAGTGGAGGAAAAGGAAAATATGGTAAATATTTGTTGTTGTTTAATTTTATAACTTTTGAAAACATTAAGAGAAATATTGCAAACTCTATCATTTTTATGGCCGACTTGGTTACTTCTCGACTGTCTTTTGAATCAGATTTGAATGTCGCTATTTATCAAACCTAAACCATCTAAATGAGTTTTCTCAAACTTTGTTGCTTTTGTTTAAATCATTTACATTATAAGATTTTTCCTTTGTAGGTCTCTATTGAGGAGAATCATAGCCATCCTTGAATCCAGAACAATTCAAAAGTGCTACAAATTACAGAACCATAAAGACTGTCGTACGGTCAAAATCGACCTTACTTCAAATCTGATTAAATTATAATAAAATTATTTAGAGAACTCTTTCTTCAAAATATTCTAACCTAGAGTTTCACCAATTGTAAAGACAACTTTCGATTGTTTTAAACATTATTGAAACTGTATGTTGACCTCGAGATGTCGTTATGTTGATTATTTTTGTTGTTTAGTTGCTGTCTCATTGACGTATACACCACATCTCCTCTTATTTATAATCTGTCTGAATTTCTTATTAATATTTCGAAATTAATCTTATACAAATCCATCTATTTGGGAAAAAACACATGAGCAACTTCGAAAAACTATCGAAAAGTAGTGGGAAAACCGATGACGCGAAAACAATAGAAAAGTAACTTTTTTATGAAAAATTCGACAAAATGAAGAGTAAAACAATGCCGGTAAAGATAACGATTACAAGTTTTTTCTAAGTACTAGTAACAATCGTTCATTTTAAAGAAAGTGTTATTTAAACTGTGTTATTTGAAACATGATATTTTATTTTTATTATTTATCGAGATAATTGAATTAGAAGCTTGTGTAGCTGAAATCTAAAACATGTTAATCTTTGCTGCATATTGATAAAAAAATTGGAAAAAAACATGTACATACAAAATCTAAAACTCTTTCAAGTAATCAATTTTCAGAGTGTTCCATATAGTCCTTGGCATGTGACAATTTCCTTAAATATACCTGTTTTCCACAACCAAGTTTTCGATTACGCCAGTCTGCGCATTGTCACATGAATTTTCAATATATAAATATTGTCTTTTCGTAAATATAACCAACATCTCCTTTAATCAATATCTTTTATTGCTCTCTTGTTATTTCAAGAAGTATAGCAACCGATATAAGGGTGTAGGACGGCACGATTTCATGCATTCAGGATAAGTTATTTGAGCTTGTTTTCAGTACCTACAAATATTCTTTCATAAATGGTATTGTCTATTTTTGTATTTGTTTTTACTTGTGTTTGTGTGTACTATACACTTATTACAGAGTTCAGTTCATATCCACTGCTGAGTTTTTTGTATGTTAATAGAACTGCGTACTAAAACAGTTTTATCACATCCCTTGTTCATGTGCTACATATCCAAAATCAGGAATCTCGTCAAGTGTTTTGTTTTGTCATACCGTTATGTTTTTGTCATATTAAGAACCGTTTGCTGATATCAGATCTGTGATTATAGTCTTTGTTCGATTTATCACAAATTTTGTCTTTTGGTGTTTTGTGCAATATAAATAAATGATTTGGCTATTCTTTAAAGTCCCTTTTGGTCATAACTAGCTCTTCGCAAATTTAAGTATTCATACATCCCTGGCTTTCAAATTTTGGGCTTTGAGCGTCCCTGATGAAGGTTAACGCAGAATAGGGCTCCAGACGAACCAAATTTATGAACAATAGAAAAGTACTCTTCTTATGAGAACGAAGCAAAATCAATAATCCGTAAAATTCGGTAACCATATTGATTTAAAAAGCAATCGTAGATGTTTTTTTGAAATAAATCATATGATAAAATTATGTTATTTGAAATGCATGTTGTCTTGTGATCAATATTTATCAAGACAATTGCATTTATTATACTTCACGTTAAAATGCCATATTTTGATTGGCTAATACGAGGGTGTTTATTTACTCTTTTACCCTTCATGGAGACGCTTGATCAAGTGTGCGCTTTATTAAATACGACTCTATCCTATGGCAAATACTCTATTACCCTTCACGGAGACTCTTGATCAAGTGTGCGCTTTATTAAATACGGATGGTTGTTATGTACAAGGCGTCATAGTTTATTACTTTGAATTTGAAATTTAATCGACAGTAATAACAGAACATTCAGTATAATAAATTAAATAACACATATCTGAGAGGGTGATAGAGCAGATTGTTACCCCTTTGAAAAGACATTGTCAACCTTGGCTTCGCCTCAGTTAACAATGTTTTCTCGGGGTAACAATCTGCTCTATCACCCTCTCAGCTATGTGTTATTTATATATTGAAGTATGACATTTGAATAACTATCAATATTTGCTACAATTAATAAAAAAAAATTGGAGAAATCATGTACATACATTCCATGCGATGAGTTCCACATTGTTCTTAGCATGGTACAATTTTACAAAATTAACCTATATTATATAACTACGTTTTTTAGCAGAGCGAATATAACGATTTAAAAGTTATGTCTGCTCAGGATAAAATTTGAAGGGAAACATTTTTACAAAAATATTATAGTACCGGACATCTTCAAGCGTCAAGTCAAAATCCCTACTACATGTATGAACTGGTTACCTAAATATCACTAAAACATCTTAATATAATTTCCGCTTTATACCAGCCTCTAGCATATGTACTACTACTAAATTGTTTGTCCTTCTGACTAGTGCACTTACTGTCATGAAAAAAACGTAAATATTGTAATAAAGTCTATCCGAACACAGTCGTCAATTGTTCTTGGAGTGCTAAAAATTGAGGGTGTAGTCTTAACTAAAGTTTATTTATCATATTGTTTGTTATAAATTTTCTCCACATAACCTGATTAAATATAAAATTTGAAACTCAATACAAAAGTTAACGATTTTCTTTCACTATTAGAATTTTCCTCGTTAGACGGTGAAGTTCCATTGACTCCTTCTAATTCCCAACTCGTTCTCTTTGTCTGTGTTTTAATGACGTTTTAATAACTGGATAATTACGAAGTCAGGGATTTAGTAACATTTGTACCGCAAATTACTTAAACCATGGAAGTAATATAATACTTTAAACTCAATTCTTTCATAGGTACACAGATTTGATTTTGAAATTTGGCTATACGTGCATTAACCTTGTTACAAAAGGGACATCCCATCCTATTTTTTAAGGTCACATATTATAATGTATACAGCCCCTCTAACTGATGTTTACCGTCTGTGTTTCTGCTGTATTGTAAAACAACTGTCCCAGTAATGGGATAGGATTGTGCGCTAAAAAAATGTTAAAATGCTTTCTTCAGTAAGCTTTTATTCAAATTATTTCACACACAATTAACTGTATTTTCTAAACAAACAAACAATGTAAAAATTGGTGTAAACGGGAAAAATCTGATAAAAATCTCTTGATTCTTATTTAAATAAATATATGAATGTTGTGGATATTCGAATATCACATTTTGAAAATGATTCAGAAATAAATAAAAGAGTACATAATACGCCTATTTCTAGAATAAGAAACAAACTTCGAGTACTTTCAATAAGGTTTGTGTTTGTACAGGCCGACAAAACAGCCAACAATGTAGTGGTGGCATGTCGTAAATACTACATGGACGTTCTGAAGAATGAAGTTTTAAATTCTTCTATATTCAAATCCGTGCGCGCCACAGCGAGTCATATATTAAACAAACCGACCGTGCGAGGGCTGTATAGCTAGTCAAGGTCGTTAAAAGGTCGTTAAAAACTCCCGTCATAATATTAAACAATAATATCATAACCACATCACAACTTAATGCCTCTTCTGAACATTTGAAGGTCAGTACTATGTATTGGTTACCTAAACTACACAAAAAACCAGTAAAATATCGTTTCATCTCGGCCTCTTGTAAGTGTTCTTCAACTAATCTTTCAGTGCTTTTAACTAGTTCCTTAACTACTATCAAATAACTTATCATTAACTTTTGTAATAAAATATATGAAAATAGTGGAATTAACTATTTTTCGAGTGTAAAAAAATCTGTGGCTGTTTAAGATGAATTACGTGTTTTTGATGGATCTTTTGATTCTGTCGACAGTTTTGACCTTTCAACTCTTTACACTACACTATCACACAATCTTATCAAACAAAAGTTTTCCTATTTAATCAAATGGTCGTTTGGTAAATCTGAATGCAAATATATTTGCTGCAACTCATTTAAAGCCTTCTTCTCTAATGAGAAAGGTAAATATGCTAAATATACTTACTGGAGGTGTGATGAGATGATTGAAGCTGTTATTTTTCTCCTTGATAATATCTATTAATTTCGGTAAATATATTTATGTACGGCAGGCGTATGAATTTTCGAGTAAAGAAAGCGGGCTAATTGTAATAACAATAGAGTATGAAGTTCCGTTAGTATTAAAGTCGTGCGTGCACTAGAAAAGTTATCGACAAGGGCAGTGACCATCTAACGAGTAATACATATCTGTGTATAGAGATATGTCTGACAGTGAACTAGCCAGTAAGGAGTCAGTTGAACCAAACAAAAATTCAAACGAAAACGTAACTAATGCATATTTGTTTTCCTTGTTCAAGACTTGCATGAACGGCAAATTGGCTGGTATTGAGAGAAACTTTGACGACAAAACAGTTTGGCTAAGAAAGTGAAGAAAATTGAGACAATGTTCCTTTTCAAAGGTAACCAGATACAATTTGAATTAAATTCTGACATAGTAGACAGTATTGAAAAAGCCGTTGAGTACATTGATAGTAAAAGGCCCGCTAGAGCTACGAAGCTTCTTGAAGAGTCGATACAAACACTAAAGAAACGTAACAAGCTGATACGGATAGCCGATAAGTCGGAGGGTGGCTGGAACACGGTTCAAGAGTACCTTTCAGATGATGTCGCCAGTAATTCAGAGAATGAAAAACGTATCAGAGCGGCGGAAAGTCGAGCAGTTAGCAAGTCGGCTAAGACGGAGAAAAAACAAGGCCGTAAAAGACCCGCTGAAGCTGCAGAAGCACCAAGTCAAGGTACGCATAACGGCGGGAGCTTTACTTCTACTATTTCTACACAACTGCCCTTTCGTAGCAGCCAGGGCCAAGCTGACCAAAGTAGACAAGCTAAGGCTGGAGACATGTGCTATTCATGTGCCAACTTCGGGCACTGGGCTAGAGATTGCCGAGCAAAGGACAAACAATCTGAATACAGAGGAGGTGCCGTTTAAACAGTATGGACCACACAGTGACATTTTTGAGGTACATGATAATTTAAACATGTTTAGCTCTTATTGTGATTATGAAGAGGGTTTCAAAAATATTCATGTAAAAAGAAGATTACAAAAATCTCTTAATTTTTAGCAAAATATTGGAGCGT